AAATGGTGGCTTTTTCCTCAAATGGTATAGTATCATAAACTTGTGGGGCTTGTTCCTGTAGCTCAAAATGAGTTTTTTTAATCCATTTAACATGGCTGTTGATGTCATAAGGGAAAAACATCATAGATAAGTTCAAAAATGGAATGTGGAAACTTTGTGACGTAATGAGATAAAATGACTTGAATTTGTAAATGGTTCATTTTTGTGTTGTATGGCATCATTTTGAAAAGTTGTCTTTATGTAAATTATTCAACTATGTAGATGTACATGACTATTTTTCACCATAGTAAAACAAATTAACAGAATGATAACCCCTTGATGCTATCTTGGTCTCCATATTGCAAGACTTTCATTTTAATAAAAATTATTTATAGGATTGAATTGGTGGACGATTTATGGGTTTAATTATGAAATATGGACTAAACAGATGGTTGCATTTAAAAGGTTTACGGAAAACATTGCTTTTACTTTATTTTTCATATGTTGCAGAAATGGGGGTGGGGGGGGTCTAGATGTACTTCTATATATCTTAAGGGCCCACGATCAATTTATTACTTAATTTTGTACATATTATTTGTATAATTGTTCTTTTGTTATCCTTGTTCAAATATTATTAAATAGTTTATTTAAATATGTGATGCTTACGTTGTTGCGGTATCTATTAAAATGTTTTTTTGTTTTTTTTAATTTGCAGGTGGCATGGGAGGTTTTGGGCAGATGGGCAATAGTGGAAACTCTGGTGAGTTTTACATACTACTAATTTTTTGTTAGCTATTATAAAATATTTTTTGAAATTAAGGATTTACACATTTTTATTTACTAAAATTGCTTATTTCAGTTATATTAAATAAATGATTGAATTTAATGTTTTAAAGTAATCGCCATTTATAGTAACTTGGGGAATTTTAGATAAATAAAGTTAACAGATTATCTAAGAAATAATTTTTTTGACTTACTGGCTAAAAGATTTTATCATGCAAATACTGTATCTAAAGGTGTGAAAAAAATTCTACTGAAATAGTTTTTTTAAAAGGAAAATATAGGTGAGCTTGCCTGAAACTTAAGTTGAGAATTAATAAACCTGGTCTTTAATTTGTGTTCTGGTTTAACAAAAACTTAATTATATAAATTGTAACCTACAATGTATGCCGTGTTGTTGTAATTATGAACACGTAAAACTATGTTAATATGTTTAATTTCCAATTCAATATAGCTTTGCGTGGAAATCAGTTTGGTAAGAATATTGCTTTTTGGCAGGATTTGTCTTTTGTTTGTTGTTGAGGTGATTTATTGTAACAGACTTGGCCTTCAGTACTTTTTAAAGTGTGAAGCTAAAATTGTGTCTTTATAGTTGATTTTAGGAAACTTAACTTTTCAGTTTCTGGAATAAGTTTTTTTTATAGCTTTGAAAGTACTTATATTTTATTAATTTATTATGTACAACACTTAATTTTGATAAGATACTATACTTTAACATTGTTTAAATTTACTGTAAGCGAATAGTTTTTAAAGTAAAATTACAAAAATCATAACATTTTCAAGAAAATGTTTAATATCTAATACTATCATCTGTGTAGTCTAAATTAATTATTAAAAATATGAAAAGTGTTTTGGTAGTATAATTCAGCCTCTGTATAAAAAAAAAATGAATTTGATTGATACCGGTACGTTAAATATAAAGATAGTCATAAGTAAATTATCAAAACATAATACTTACTGGTGCAAGTTATTCTTTGTTCTGACATGTAGTTAAGAAGTGATTGTTGGTTGTTTTGTTAATGTTCATTTCTGTGTAAAGATTATTTTAAAATGCATTTCTGATTTTTGTTAACACCACACAAACACCTAGAGTTGAAAATAATGTTAGCTAAAAAATGAACAGTAACCTCACATATTCCTTTAACAATTTTACAAAGTAACCATAACAGTAACATTTAACTATTATTTACCATAAATTAAAGACGGCTCAGTTGTATACATTATTTTATGTGTGTGGCTCTTCATTACAAAAGTCATTAATGCAAAATAATAATTTTTTTAATACCGGTATGGAAAAATATATTTTTGAGTAAATTTTCAAATAAGACCATTCTTAAAATGCTTGTTCTTATTAATCTTATTTAAAGACACTAAAGATCGTGGTTCTATTTTTATTTTGGGTTGGGGGAGGAGGGCTGTTTAGTTGTAATTGTTACAAATTTACTTAAATAATAATATAATAAATTAGAGATTTTTCAAAAAATTTTATGCATACATATATGTTGTATTTGTGAATCCTAATGAATGCTTTGTAGTTGTGCTGTATAAATTATTTTGACTGCATACTTGTACTCTATGGGTTTGTTTGCAAATTACATCATGTATAAAATGACCTTTTCAGACCCCCCTTTCACAAAGTGTTACAAATTCCTTTAACCCCACCCCGTGTCATGTCACAGCTAAAAAAAATTCAAAACATACATAAAATTTCATAGTATTATTTGAAAACTGTGACCTTAAACACCAACCAACAAAGTCCTCTCCGAGCCGAATTTAAAAGGGCCACAACAGTTTTTGCGTCATTTTGCGATATGTGCAGAAGGCGTGTGTCTGAGTTTCGCGGTACTTATTATACCTGAGGCAATTTAAATCTAAATTTTTTTTTTTAATTGAAAAAATATTTTTCAAAACTTTTGATTTTATTTTGTGCTGTCACAAATTTTTGACCCACCCCACCCCCCTATCTGTCACAAAGTTTCATAAATTCTCAGGGAACAGCACCCCCATCCCCGCGAGCGTGATGTAATTTGCAAACGGCCCCTATGCATACTAAATGTTTTAAGCTTAGCAACTTTCTATTTTATGCACACATTTAATTAACAAAAAGTTACTTATTACAATTTATTCCTCCTACAAATTTTAAACTTGTATTCTGTTCATATAATGTTTTTTATTAATGTGTTTAATACAAGTTTTAATTATTGCGATATCGAAAGCTCCATTGCAGTTAATGGTTCCATATTCTTGGATTCATAAATATAACCTGGAGGGGAGAATCAATAGGGCTGTGTTTAGGGACGCTATGTGGAAATCATTTTACCCATGGTCTTAACCCGCATTGATTGAAACTGCATAAAAGATCAATGAACTCTCCTATGGTTGGTTGAGTTAAAAAGGAGATGGCTGTTGGTTAGTAATATGGATATCATATATCACTGGCTTAACCAGGTGCAATTTTTTTATACAGCGTCTGGGTATTGGTGGGTCCAAGTGTTACAAAACATAAAGAGTTAACTTCTTATTTAATATAATATATGCAGGCCTTTAAACAATAGGCCCACAGACAGTCCTACACCATACCTAATTGATTAATATAATATAAAGTTGTGTCATAATGAGCAATATCTTTTTTTTTTTTTAAAGTTTCATTGTGAGTTATAATCTCTACCTACCACATGTTGCTTCTGACTTAATTTTACAATTCCTAATATTTACATCATTTTTTTAAATTGCCTGCTTGTCGCTCATTTACTTATCTTTGCTTCTAACCTCGTTTATTTCCTTAGGGTTCTGGATGTTTATATCATGTAACTTGCTTTAACAATTTCTGAAATAAGTAGCAAGTATTTGTCCCAACCAAAGTTTCTATGAAAATAGTTAATATTTTATGTGAATTAAAATTTAATGGATGATAGATAATTCTGCACCTATGCATAATAGTGGAGCAACCTGCAGTTACTTTGCTAATAAAATTCTGTTTTTGTAATAGAAGTTACTTTTTATAGTTAATTTATATTACTAACGCATAAAAAAATTTCATACATTGTATCTTGATAGGAAACTTGGGTGGCTCTGGTATGGGCAATATGGGCAACAGTGGCATGGGAGGTAATATGAATGGCTTTGGTACCAACAATTCAAACAGTATGGATGCTTTAAGTCAAGCATATTCAGGAATTCAGCAGTATGCTGGTAAGATATATTGTGATATTGAGTATAGTGACATTGCATATACATTTAGCCTCTAGTTACTATTTTAAAATACATGTCATGCCAGTTTAGTGCTTAAATTTGCCATGTAGAATTAAATATTAAAAAAAAAATGCATCTAAACAATTACTGTTACAAAGTTATACAGAATTCAATGAACTTAAGCTGAATTATTATTCACTTCTTAAAGTCTTGTAAAGAAAGCTTACTTTAAAGTTTAAAAACCAAAATAAAACTCACATTTTATTTTGTTCCGTTTAAGCTTCTTTCCCCAATGCCTTCAACGCTCAGGCAGCTCAGCTCCAAGCTGCTAACAGCAATGTTGGCAAGCAACAGGAAGGTATGAACCAGGAAGGTGTGCATTTTTGTTTGTGTTTCTTTAAGAAAGCATGATAGATTTAGCTTATAGCATTTTAAATTATTAGGATTTCACATGAACATTCTTGTAAATTTCATGACTTTTTAAAGTTCAAGTGAAAAAGTATTCACAGAAGTTAATTATTGTGTTATGTAAGTTTAATCTGACAAATAATTTAATTTGTCTGCCATTTTATTTTACTGCATACCATGCATTTTATAAATGAATTTTTTTTTTTTTTTTTATTTTTTCTATATTTTTTTTTTTTTTTTTTGTTTTTATTTTTAAATTTTAAGTGAAAAAGTATTAACAGAAGTTAATTTTTTTGTTTTGTAAGTTTAATCTGACAAATAATTTAATTTGTCTGTCATTTTATTTTACTGCATACCATGCATTTTATAAATGAATTTTTTTTTTTTTTTTAATTTAGTCAATAACTATTATTTTATTTATTGCTATTGAGTTCAGTTTTCCATTGAATTAAAATGGTTTTTAGTTAGGGAATGTTTAAACTGCATTACTATTTCTGTGCTTGCCTTTCAGGCCCTGATGGTGCCAATCTTTTTATATATCATCTTCCCCAAGAATTTGGGGACGGTGATCTCATGCAGATGTTTATGCCCTTTGGTACCATCATTTCTGCCAAAGTGTTTATTGATAAACAGACCAATCTCAGCAAATGTTTCGGTAGGTTAAGTAGTCAATTATCAGTTTAGTGGCCTGTTTTAACAGTTCTCAGCCATCTTAGCTGTTAGGGGTTAGGTGTAGCCCAAGTTGGTGGGAAATATCTTTCAAGCTTCCTGTGGAATAACATTTAACACTTAAAATCCACACAATCCCAATCATCATATCTATATCATAGCAACAAGACAAATTCATGAATAATTTCCCCTCAGCTGCACGCCCATACTAACATGATTACATCCTTCCCAAATGGATAAATCACAACTTTTAAATGAAAATAGCTTGTTTGAAGTCAGATTTTCAGTATTTTTTACACTGACCAATAATAATTTTGTATTTAAAAAAATGAAATCAGGTGATAATTTGATAGCAATTTATATGTTATTGTAAATAATTAATCTGTTAATTATGTTAGCTGTAGTAATACAGATTTCTGTATTTTAATTAATGAAGTGATATCTATATTGTCTGACTTGACAAATTTATTTAGTTCACCATTTTATAAACCTTATTTTTAACTGTACTGGGGAAAAGTCATGTGGATAGATGGGTTTTTTCTCTATGTGCTAAAAATTTCTAGTGAAGGAAATAATGAAAATTAAAATACTATTAACTTACACTACACTCAGATTTAATAGACATAAATTTAGGACTTAGCCTTCGCCTCACCAATAAACTTATAACCAGAAAAGAATGCTATCCATGATTTCGAAATTAGTTTATATGAAACTGATTTTTTGAGTTTGCATATATTAGTGCCAAAGTAAGAAATATGGCCAGAGATATAGGTTTTGTAGATGCTTGACATGCCTAAAGGCGAAAAGTTTTTAACAATTTTTAAGCGTTTCTGTTCTTAAGTTGTGGTTCCGGTACGCATATTTGAATTTTCAGCCCAAATTTGTAGTGCCTAACATCTCAAAAGAAATAAATTTATATATCATCATTGTTACTTCAGTGGAAAAGTGAATAGATAATTCTAAGACTTAGTTTTAACATTTGTTATAAAAAAAAATACTTTCTATTACTAACAGGTTTTGTTAGCTACGACAATCCCCTGGCAGCCCAGGGTGCCATTCAATCCATGAACGGCTTCCAGATCGGTATGAAGCGACTCAAGGTGCAGCTCAAGCGACCCAAGAATGACAGCAAGCCTTACTAGACAGACCGCAGTTTATACGGGCCGGACAAATAGAGGGAAAGGTGAGGGGGAAATGTAATTTCTTTCAAGGCAGCATTGAAGTAATTCTCACTAAGGTGCTATATTTTGTTGTCATTCCCTTCCTTTAAAAATTGAGTTTTTTTTTTTGTTTTTAAATTTTGTTTGATGTTGTCAGTTAAATATCTATATATGTTAAAAGTAAATCGAGCCTATAGAACAAACCAACTTCTATGAAGTTATAAAGAAATAGAAAAAGATCAGATACTTATTTTAAGTGTGTGTATGTATATATAAATATGTCATATACATAAGTAAGAGTTGGACAAAACAAATTAATTTAGGAGCCAGTTCCATTTTCTCAAGAGTATGTCATATTTATCTATGGTTTATAAACAAACAAACAAATAAATTTTGTGTGCTAGTTTAAATTTTTTCTGGTTCCATGGCATTTGAGCACCTTGGACTATCTACCCGTGTGTGTGTATATATGTATATATATATGTATATGTATATATATATGTATATATATATATTTATTTATATATGTATATATATATATATTTATATATATATGTATAAATATATATATATGTATATATGTATATATATATGTGTGTGTGTGTGTATATGTATATATTTATTGGGCACAGTAATTCTGTCTTGGGTACTTTATGAAAACTTGTGTTGCTTGTTAAGCAATAAATTATATTTAACCAATTTATGTAGTAAATAATATTACAAACGTTTTTGACTTCGAATATCTTAAAATATTTAATTTTTTTTTTTCTAACTGTAGTAGATTCTAAATTTTTTTTATCAATGGAAAGAATCTCCATTTGAACTAATATATCACATTAAGTTAAGGTACCGCTACATTAGGTATGGACAAGAAAATTTCTAACTGCTTTTAATATTTTAAATTTTATTTTCACATTAATTAATATAAAAAATTCAATGAATTTATGTATTTTCTTTATTATCCATAATACCAGTATTTTATTTGTTAAACTAGACTACTGTAGATTACAACATATAACGCCATCATATATAAGGCAAACTCCTTTGTTTCAAAAAAGCCCTAAAATGCCATGCCACACATGATGTTAATCTTGTTGCCTAAATAAAAAAATTATATCTCCTAAACAGTGATACATGCAGTTATAAAACAGAAAACTCAATAACTCTGTCAAGAGGGAAATAGTCATTTTGCTTTTCAATAACAGAATCTATAGAGCTAGCATAATTTACAGTTGCATTATGATAAATTACATATAAATTGAAATAAAGTTGGTCATCTTAGTCACTTTCTGGAAAAAATTGCTCTTTAACAGTCTAAAAACTGAAGCTTGATTGAAATCAAGACTTTAATGAATAAATTTAAAATTTGTGGTTTATCCATATAGGGTAACAATATTAGAATGCTTGGACAGCAAAGGGGAGAGCATTTATAATTTTTTCTTGTTACTGTGTTTGAATGAAAAGTTTTTTCAGAATATAGTCTACTGCTTTCAGACGCATGAGCTTATGTGAATCGCTACAATTTTTTAAAACTTTATTATAAATTTTTCGCATTAATACACTGTAATAGCGGTATGTTAAAATTACTTGCTAATACTAAATCGAAACGGGGCATAAATAAAATATTAGAATAACTAGTTGCATCACCAATAAATTGCACATATACCGGTATCTATTTTAAATACTACCTGCAGTTATTTTAATTTCTTAAGGCTTGTGTAATTTTAATTAAATTTTGAGTTTTATAATTGGAGATTTTTGTTTGTTACCTCAGTGTAAATTTGTTTTTAGTTGCAGACAAGACCATTAAGGTTGACCATTAAACATCTTACTACTTGCAAATTTACCAGCTAAAAACATTTTGCCACCTTTTACCTAAATTTTCTGGCATTTTATTGATATGGACAGTGCTGTTCTTAATAAATACAAGTGTTAAATGTAGTATGGATTGATATTTGAATTATATCATATTTTATTTAGTCTCGATGTTATTAGATATTAATTATTTTTCAATCCGAGGATTATTTATAGAATTTATTTGTTGCAACTATTCATTCTTTGGGAAAATTAATGTATGTTCAGTTAAAATCAGAACAAAATTATAATTAATGCACAAATTTTAGATTTGAGCTGGCAGTCAATTGCCATATATCTCAGTATTTTCAAATGTTGCTCTCCTAAGTCATTAAATACCTTTCGCTGCTTTATCTTTCTCGTTGGGGGCACCCAGTGTAAAACAATTGTAGCAAGTGAATAATGTGGTCTACAAACCCCATTCTACAATTCTTTTTTCTAGTCTATTAGATAACTGATCTCTTAAGTCTCATGATCAAAAACTTAATAGCCTTGATGCAACAGTGGACACGCTTAAAATTTTGATTTGCGATAATTTTCGGACTGACTTTACCAGTCTCCAGCACTAGGGTGATGCAAACTCATCTGCAAAATTCTGTCTTAAGTCTTATCTCTCCATTGGATGCTGAATTGGAAAGGAGCTTTAAACACATGTTCTTACATGCACCAGTAGATCGAAGTTGGTAATGTGACATCATTATCAATACAATTTAAAATATTTTGGTTTTACTCTTGCTAAGTATTCATACACCTCCTAGTCAAAAACATTTGGTTTGACAGTTGTTCTGCATTTTAAGAGTTTGAAAGTGAATAGTCTCATCAGTCGCTGTATTAAAATATTTTCAACTTCTCCTTTGAATTCTGAAAGAATTTTGTTAATTAGAAAAAAGTTTTAAATCAAAATTCTGCTCTGCTAGTTGTTAATAAAATATTGGTTCTAACTCAAATGTAACTTTTGGGATACCATCATCGTCATTGCATGCTATGGAGAAAAAAAAAAGAATTATTTTATATTTTTATTTATCACTTCTGGGTACCGGGTACCTCCTAAACTATTCGCTTTTATTGCATTAATTTGTGCCATGATGTCATCCTTTGTTAATCTCAAAGGAGTGGTATTTTATATAAATCTTAACTTAAAGGGGTAATAACATAATTAATTTACAAGCATAAGTTTTGACAGGAAACTTACTTATGTTATTGTTTTAACAATTCAACGTTGAAGAAAAATACATTTTGAACTAATTGAACCAATGTTTATTTAGCACTGGATATGAAAAAATGATATTCGCCTCTCTGTTCAATAGTCTAGTTTTTTATAGGATTAATGGAAGAGCTGAAATATCTTAGTGTGTCCATTAAAAATTTCATTTATATGTAAATGTTTTTGACATCCCTGGAGTCCAATTTAGATAATTTCTAAAAGAACACTACCGTTACATGTAACTAACACTCTAGTAAGCACAAAGAAAAAGGTGCCTCAATGAAATCGAAGGATTTGAAAACATTTTTAAAATAAATAAACAATAGTTTGGATTAGAATGTGTTTTTAAAATACCTGGTATTGTATCATGTTTAATGTAGGAACTCTTTTAAATATCTGTATACTGGTAACAACTATTTCAAATTTATCAGTTTGAAATTATTTTCAGTTCTCATTGTAAACAGTATTTGATAGGCCACAGTTAACATGTGGAAAGTATATTAGTATTATTAGTGATATGCTCTTATACTTATATATCCTTTATCTTTTCTATTAATTTATTTCACCTTAGGAAAGATGTGGATGAAATTTAAACTCTGTTAAAATTTTTATTTTAACTTGTGTAAGGTATATGATTGTGATTTACAATTGATTTTAATATAAAGTGATATTATTTTATAATTAAGCAGTTTTACTAATATTTGTATTAAAATCTAATCAGTATTTAAGTTGACTGACTGTTTTGCTTTTTCTTCTTTATGTAGAGAACACGTTGGCGTCTGGCGTGACATGGCGTGTGTCTCCTGTGTCCCTGTGGCGTCGTCGTGCGTCCGTACTACGTCCCCATCGTGCATTTGTTTTTTCTTCTCCACTGTCCATGTGTCCAGCAAGCAGTACTCGTCGGTCGGTCGGTTCCTTGTTGTCAACGTTTTACTTTTTTATTTCTCGTTATTGCTGTTTGTTGTTTCTCCTGTAGTTTTCTAGTGTATCCCATGCTGGGGTGCCTTTTGTGCTTTTAGTTTTGTATGCATAAAATATTTTGTTTAATCGAACTTTATTATTTACAAGAGATTTTACTTTAGTATTGGGTTTTTCAATTATTAAGGTGGTTTAGTAACTGCTAAAATGGGTTCATATATTTGTTATATTTTTCCCTCAAAGACAGTTTTGCCATCAATACAATTGGACTTCTAATGAAGCATTATGTCTTCTATTGAAGTATACTTATTTATATTATTTTTTTCCATAAAAAGTATTGGCATGGCAAGTCTCAAAATCTATGTACATAATTTTCTTAAAGCATTTGAATTTCACTGGGTTATTTTGTACTTTTGTATTAAGTTCAGTATGTTAAGTGTTTGGCATTCAACTTTAAAAATCAATATTTACTTGTGGTTTGAAAAAAACAATGTTTTGTCTATTACTGTAGATTGCTACAAAACTTCTCTGTAAATCAAAAGAAACTATCTAAAACTGGTTGAAAAAAAGTGAAAATGAATTAGGTACCCCAGTTTTATTTTATTGTGATTTAGTATTGCCCCATGTACTGCCTTTGGATCGTATTATTGATTATACACATATATACTGCTCTTTATTTTTAAATATTACTAGCTAACTTGTATTTTCAACTCATTGTTTGCTGTGCTTTAAATTGTTTTGCTTCAATTTCTTCTTCATTGGGAAGAAAATAACTGCTTCACAAGAAATCTATATTCATACTTCAGTGATAAAACACTAAATGAGAAAGTAGTGCCACTTATCATTATTGAGCACAACAGAAATCAGCAAATGGTGACATGCATTTGTTTCTGCCATCATCACTGTAAAAGTGTTTAAAATAGCTTCAAAATCTTTTGCTTTCTCTACTTTGAACTGTGAATGCCAACAGCAGTTTCATAATGTCAATGCATGGTAACTTAAACATATCCTACTTGTATCGGAACAATCTTAAAGGAATGTTTTAACGGAAAAAAACCTCTCCCCTCTTTAAACTGACAATCAGTATATTTTGTCCCACACATTATGTCTTGTTCCACACTAGTCATAAAACAAGTTGTCCCATTACTCACACTTGTCATGACTTGTTTTGACTGTTTATTTGGCGGGCAATGTTTTTGTATGTACAATCCATGTCTCTCTTTGTGTGGAAAAGTATGACAATTACCATCTGAGGTCATATCCCCCCTCAGTTAATGTTTTTAAAACTACAAGATGTAAGAAAAAAAGGAAATTAGTTAACATTTGTTGTTTAATTAATCTCAAGTTCTTTGTGATTGGAATAGCTAGACCATGTGAGCCTATTCCAATGTTTGTCAATAAATTGCCTCTGAGATGGCTGATTTTTTGTAGAGAAAGGATGAGAGAAAGAACCTGTACTCAGGAAATTCTTGTTTGTCACTGTCAAGTTGTGTGGTGTCACAAAAAAATAAACAATTCTGTTGAAGTATTGCAAATTCAGTGTTCATTATGTCTAGAGGCAAAGAAGGCCTTTTAATACTTTCTTTATTCTATGGAAACTATAGGAAGGACGATAGCTTTCACGTTAAATATATGTACATTTTTTGTCAGCCAAATTATCAACAGCAAAATGTTTTGAAATTGTACAAAAATTAAAATATTTTGCTTGAATGTTCAATATTCTCTTAGCAGGTATCTGGAATTGTAAAAGATGTATCAGTTTATGTATATCCAAGCTAAACAAAATGAGTAACCTAGATACCATAGCCACATTTTTTGTTCTACTTCTTTTCATAATCAGATCAAAATTTAAACATCTTCCTTCTTTGCATTTGCAGCTTTGTAAGTTGCAAAATGTTGAGTTTTCTTGTTATAATTTAAGGGTTTGTATTGTATCTTTGTGCGTTTTTTTTAGTTTCCGTACCTTTGTGTTAACTTCAAAACATTTTGAAAAAAAATATGGAAAAAAAAAATGAAAAAATTAAAAGTGTAATAAAAAAAAAAATAATTGTTTCATTGTAATCATTTATCCCCGTGTATGTGCTGCATGAATGAAACTTAGATTGTTAGGAGTAAGCTAACACAATACAGTGACTTGCAATACAGATTTTATTATCTTCAAATTTATAACATGAACTCTTCAAACACTTCCAACATGAAATAACCATGAAATCACACAGCCAGCAAGTGCAACTCTTCCTCTCTTGCAATTCAGATTTCTGTACAGAGCAGAATACCATGAACATTATAAATTAGAAGCCTTAAGTGAAACTTAAATAAATGCAATATTAAAATAACCCCTCCATGGGTTTTGTAATTAAATTTTTATACTTACACTCACAATCCTTTATGTCAGACGAAGATGCCAACCCAAAGTAACAGAAATAAAACACCAAAACCCATAAAGATGGATGCCACAAGGGAAACAACTAATTCTTTTTTTAGGTCTCTGGCAAATTTGGTGCTTGTTACTTCATATCTAAAGCTAGTTAAGGATAACAATTTAGCATTGGATTGCATAATAAGCACTTTTTGAAAATTAAGAGGTTCATTCTCATCACATTGGATTGTAATTTGCATATTCAGTTCAAAAACTGAAATATTTTTTAAAATATTGAGAAATTTCATACTGACAGTGTGACAGACTGGAAATGTTAAATTAATTCATGACTCATCATTTCAATAGGTGGTAAAGACACTTTTTGTAAAGGATACACAAAAAACCAGGCCATAAAGAATATTCCTATACCTAGTAGAACTACTGTAAGGTGTGGAAAAACTGCAGGATTGATGGGTGACACATAACGGCTCATTTGCTCCACGTCCAACTGCAAAACAAAATATTTTAGAAAATTATAGTATTTCAGTAACCTGATTTTTTGAAGTAAAACTAAAACAAGCAGATTAACTAAAACAGTTTTTAAAAATCAAACATGACCTAGCAAACAGAAGACTTAAAACGATTTTAAAGAATACCCGGTACAGCAATATGTAAAAGGTCTGACTATGAACTATAATTAATTTTTATAAATTTTCCAAGGATGAATACTTTATTCTATCAACCCTATCTTATTTTGAGCTCAGCACCAGCAATTCAATAGCTTCAAGCTGGATTATAATTTAAAAATAAGATAATGGGGCAGTATATTATATATATATAGTATAGTAAAATCCCCACAGATGCCAACCCTCCAAATTTCATATAGAAATGAACTACGCTACCGGTACAGTATTTATTATTTAGTAATGAAATTAAGGAAATTTAACAAGAATATCAAAAAAATTAAAAGCACTTTGCCATACCTTCCTTTAGGTGAGTTTAAAACCATGTACTGGTAAATTATAAGATGCTGCAATTGACTACTACTAGTAATACTAGACATAACTATAAAATATAAATAAAGTAAATAATATTAATTCTTGGTACGGTACCAGTATTATTAAATCTTCAAAAATACTTAGAGTTGGAGACACTACTTCTCAAATTACTTTTAACTTAAGCAAAGATTATTCGTGAATGAATTCTCCAATAGCCATGTTTACAATGTATCCGCAAAAAGGGAAAACCTGATACTGATGAAAAATTCTAGTAAACATTTATCAATTAATTTTAAAAACTCATTTAAGTCCTTACATACTGAACAAAAATAATTAAGCGGTCCCTGATAAAATTTAGCATTATGTTTAAATGTATATGAATTTTGGATATTTAAAAAATTGATAAATATAAAGGGTTCCCTTTTTCCAGACACAGTTTGTGTACCATGATAGTGGGCATTGACCTGTTAGGCACCCTTATACTTATTGTTATTATAAGTTCATAATTAATTTGTTTTAATACTCCGTACAGCAATCCAAGGTACTTTAGAATGGACACATAGGCTTTAAGTTTAAGCCTCATTTTGACCTGTCTTGAACAAAATTTACAATTAGCATGCCATTTTTTAGGTTTGCATTAGCCTGAAACTAAATGTTAACATTTTTATTTTGTCTTTGATGAATTAAATTTTAATATACCCGGTATTAGGTTTATATTAATTATATACACAAATTGTGTGATTAGTTTATTCCAGGATGCTTGTTCAATTTCAAGAGGCATCCAAAATTTTAAATAATTAACAGTACATTTATTTTTGTACGGTAGCTAATAAAATAATAATTTTTCACTACTAACAAGTAGATATTTTTAACTTAAATGAATATTTAAATTTAATATTTCTAATAAAATGTTTAAAAAAAAGACATGAACTTTAATATACCCTGTACCAAAAAACTTGAATTTTGAATATTAAAAATAAAACAGAAATTGTGTAGATCCATGATTATTATTAGATTTTATTTCTAGAAGTTCTAGGCTTCAATTTCAGGTACCGGTAGAATAGTAAATTTTAATTTTCTGTTTATAATTTCATGAATTCAATCTTATAATTATAAAAATAAATAATTCCAATTACCTTTTATAAATATAAAAATTGATTTAAATATAACTGAAGCATATATTTAATTAAAATACAATAATCAATAAGAATCCTATATTTTTTTGGTACTCTTTATAACTTTAAAAGTATCCCCCCCCCCCCCATTTTTCTTTTCAGGATTTTTTTTTTTAAAACTACCCTCAAATAAAATTATACAAAACACAGAGTTTTCATAATGTTATGTAAAAGTTGTGTTATTCATTTTGTTGTAAATAGCATTGTGAATGTCTCCAAAACATTTGATACCATTAGCTGTTAAAATTAAAAAGTTCAAAATAAGGCAGAAACATGAAAAGTTGGTCACAAGTTTTCCTCCTTAAGTTAGATCTAAAGAAAAATAGGGGCTTTGAAATATGTTATAAGTATAGTTAGCTACATGAATTTTGCCAAGAGATGTCTCTCCCAAACTTTTCACTCTGAGCAATATTCACAGCATAAACTAAATCTATTGGTCCAGCTAATATGTAACATTACCATTTTTTTAATTATTATCATTATTAGTGGTCTTCAGCTGTATACGGTAACAACAAACCAAATACAAATGTATATTCACCCCACCCACCCCAGAACTTTTACATGTCAAGCCATGGACAGCAGCCAGCAGCATCATTTATAGGTCAGACTCAGATGAGGAATAAGTAGAGTTTAAAGAGATGTGTTTTGAGTGCAGTTTTGAAGGCTTGCGTGGTTGGTATATTGCGGTTGTGTAGTGAGAGAGAATTCCATTGTTTGGGGGTGCAGAAAGAGAAAGATCATTCACCATATGTTTTAATGTGTGGCTTGGGAATGGACAGAATATGCATGTCTGCGGAGGTGCGAGTCGAAGGGGTGAATAGAAAGAAGTTTGGTTAGATAGGAAGGGCAGTAATCCAAGAAAAAGTTGTGACAGAGAACAGACAGCTTTTAATCAATGTGTGCCTGTATATGGAGCCAATGAAGTGAGTGGAGTGACATGACCACGTTTTTTTGCCTTGAGAACCAGCCTATCAGCTGAGTTTTGAAACATTTGTATTATTTCTATGAAGTGTTTTGAAGAGAATTGCAATAGTTAAGACGAGAGAGAACAAGAGCACAGAAGAGTGTTTTTGTTGTGCCAACTCAGAACTGTGAGTTAGTGGCGGTTGGAGCTGATCTGACAGATAGCGCTGTAAGCAGAACGACAAATGTGAGAGATATGTTTATCGAGAGACATGTTGTTAGAAAGAATACAGCCAAGATTCCTAGCAGAGGATGTAAACAGTATGTCAGAGTTACCTAAAATGAGGTGGGGAGAGCTGAGTTAGAGGATGACTTGTGATTGTGAATGAGGAGTGCTTCCATTTCGTCATCATTAAGCTTCAACTTTTGAGTGTCATCCATGACTTGACCATCACCAATGCACTACCGCAAAGTCTGAACAGCGCAACCGACAAGAGAGGGATGGGTATGCTTGTAAAGCTGCGTGTCATCTGCGAATGACTGGCTCTCAACTTACAAGGTTCAAAAGAAAGAAAAAAAAAAGAAACCCATCGTTGTCAATAACCCAAGCTGAACCAGAAAAAAGATGAGCACATATGCTGTCTTTTGATTGGTAGAAAAAAGAAAAAGTATCTATATCACATTTAATTCTACAACGTCACTATTTTACTGGACATTACTGAATTCAAAATAGTGCTTTCCCCTTCCCCACTATAAAAATGAGAAGGAAAAAATTTTTTATCGCATTAATAAATAAATGCAGCACTAAAAATTGAAATCTTTTGAGTATGATGGAACTATGGCTGATAGTGCACTAAGCTGACCTGGGAAACCTTCATACCGATATAAATTTTAGACTTAGTTCAGGCTATATGTTGGGCCTAAATATTTAAATAGAAAAATTAAAGAAACATAGTACATAGTCCACTCAATCATAGCCTACACAATGACATTGCTTGAAAGTCTAATATGTTAAATTTATATTTATTCCTACATAAAAGACCCTATAAAAACAAAGCACACTATTTTAAATTTAATTTATTAATAAAAATAAAGTACCACTGTGTGGCTCACTGCCAACTCAGCCAACTGCAATATTTGTCATAGATAAACGCAGGTGCAGCTCTTACTCTTATGAAAAGGGGTAAATACAACTGCTATTTTAAATAGATGTATTTTAAGTAACAAAGCAGTGATTTATATTAATATTATAATTATTTAAATATTAGTATTCTGAAAAACTAATAGTATTCTGAAAAACTAATAAACTAATAAGGTAAGCCTACCGGAAGTAGTTCGTGGCTAGCTCCAAATAAAAGACGTGGCACAACATAACTTAAAAATATTAGTATTATAAGGCCTAGTTACCTTTATTTTCCAATTCCTTTAACAATATTATAGACATTATTATCTCTAAAGGTCTTATGTAAAGTTCATGGTACTGCACGTATCTTTTAAAATGTAACAATTCATAGAAGAAGAAGGAACTTACCATGATGAGATTATGTTAATCGTTTGTTAGTGAAAAGTAGGGGAGATCAGTCAATTCACCATTAGAATTCTGTCATGCGCACATAGTAAGGTTAAAGGTTACTATAATAACTTCCTGGAGCCGAAAGCGTCTTAGGCGATAACATGAGTTTGTCTGCTATTTGTGTAAATACTTTTTTTTTTAATAGACTTATAATTATTTAGGACATGACAAAGTAGTATTAATAGACCCTTTCTCATAGAAGTATACTCTAGTTAACCTTTAATAAATGTTAAAATTATAGGCTAAAAATATATATAATAATTATAATTATGTACTAATGAATATTTTATTAAATTACAAAAATCAAATTAATATAGTCATACAGTCAGTATAGAATATATAATATAGTATTACTAATATGAATAATATAGTCATAGTTTTATAGACTATTAGAACATATAATATTTATAATATTACATACTAAATAACAATAATTTAAAAAGAACCTTGGTTCAACTCTAAGCCTACTTACTACAATTTACAGGCCTAATATTTATTTATATTATTAGGCATAGGCATAAGGCACTGAAAATTACTAATTTAATTCTTGCAGCGGCCTCACTGTGTTTATTTAAAATTAGCGTGTAATTATGTCTCAAAATCAAGTGAAAAAGTGCATTTAAAATGTTTAAAGAATTATGTCATATAAATTATACATGAACTTTTATATAAATTTATGGCATAGTTTAAAATAGTTAAAAGCTTAAGATATTGACAGGGTGGACATTTGCTACTTTTGTATGAGTATGAGTCTATCTCAGTAGTCTCTGAGTAGTTCTTTAATTTTGGGATTGGCCAAGTTAGGCCCAAAGATTTTGAAGTTTTGTAGATTAAGTAATAAATAAATTTGAATTTTTTAAGGAATATGTTTGTTTTAATTTAAGATTATATATATATATATGCACATTATTTTAATTATAAAAGATGAGATTTCTTTAAGAAAATGTTATTTCTTTTAACTATAGATAAGCATGTGGACATTTAGATAAAATGGGTGAGAATATAGATATGGATTATTATTTTTGCAAAATACTAAACTTCTAAAAGCAACTATAATGAGTTGACTTTACAGAAAAATAATCTTTGCTTGTTTTATCTATATTTTTTTAAATGATGAAAATGAAAGTTATATACAGGTGTTGTAATTAGCTAGACAGATAGAAAATTTATTCTTTAAATGGCAGACAATTTTTCATGTTGTCTGGCAGTTCTTCAATAAAGAACATCAGCTATTTCTCACTATTGCAACAGATGGTGCGCTATCATTGACTTGATGTCATTTTAACTGTTGTTGAAAAGGAAAGTGCTAAATATCTAAAACAATTTTAATGTCCTTCATTGCCAAAATATGGGTTCTAAAAAAATCAAAATTGCCCTGAAAAAAAAAGGGGGGGGGGGAGAAGGGTTGGGAGAGGGAGGGAAGAAGAAACAAAGGACAAGGAAAGGAAAGTGCTAAATATCTAAAACAATTTTAATGTCCTTCATTGCCAAAATATGGGTTCTAAAAAAATCAAAATTGCCCTGAAAAAAAAAGGGGGGGGGGGGAGAAGGGTTGGGAGAGGGAGGGAAGAAGAAACAAATGCCAAGGCAAAACAATTATTGTCAAAACTGTGTTTTGCTGTTTTGTTCAACTTCATCCAGACTTATGAGTTGACTGCTTACTGAAATGTCTACAAGTCTACTGAGTACATTGTCAAGAGGATATGGACCATGGATGGGCTCTATTGATAATAAAGTACACAATTTTTTTCATATTTTACTTGGTTAATGTTTTTTTAAAACAATTGTAATTTTAAATTAAAATTAAATGACCAACTGTCTTTTTTACTCTCTCTTATATAATTTAAAAAAATTAAAGTTCTTAAACTGTGTTTAAAATTGTGCAACATTGTAATGATAATTCAAAAAGCTGTTTGTAACAAGAGATGATAATTTAATTTGAATAGTACACAAACATGCTACTATAGTAAAATATCCATAAAAAGTTACTGATTGCTGAACTATGGTTTGGGATTCAACTTGCTACAACATATATTTTATTTAGCATGAAAATCTTCCAAGTCTTGACTCCAACACCGCACAACACAGACATGGACCCACAGTCTTGACAAAGGACTCCACAACTTTCTCTGGAGTTCCTATCGCAGATGATGGTCACCTAGAATTGCCAAAAACTTTTCTGACTCGTAAAGGCGCTTTAATACTTTTTACAGCTCCAGATGAGCTCCCAGTGGAACCTCCAAGGTCTCCAAGACTCAGGAGGAAAAGACATAAGCAAAAAGATTTCATAGATTTAAGTTTAAAATTGAGGACTTTAGAAAGGCTTTCACTATCAGTTTTACAATTTGGTGACAAGGTAAGTGGAAAGGAACTAAATAATGCAGTGGCATGGGCGCCCACAGAAAACTTTCTAGGGGGGGGGGGGGGCAAAAAAAATCGATTAACTTTCCATGGGGGGGAGGGGGGGGGGGGCAAAAATTTTTTTATTAATGTTTTAGTATAGTTTTAATTTACTTTAGCGTATTTGTATGGTGAACGAAAAGACAGGACATCAGCTTAGTTACTTTCTCTTTATTTTCTCTTTACTTTAATAAATTTTTTGTCTATTTTTGTCTAAAAATTTTTTATCCAATCAATCCAGGGGGGGGCGGGGGGGGCAAGTGCCCTGCCTTGCCCCTACCTGCGGGCGCCCATGTGCAGTGGTTATTAAAATGTAACAAACCATGAAACTCAAAGTCTCCATAACACTGTATATTTGATTCCCATTCTGTTTACTATAATGTTGTGGTTTTTCCTGAATTTAATTTTAATTCAAGCTAATATTTTTTTGTTGAGAACCGCCTAAATTGGGGCAAAAGTATGATACCTGTATTTCATTCTAAATGTAAAGCTTTGTCTCACATGGAATCTCAGAATAATAGAGTATGTTAGTGCCTGTACTATCATATTTGAAACTAAACAAACACAAATGTGTGGTTGGATTAAATAGAACATATAAAAATGATGATACTTAAAAATCTTTCTTAAAATATGATGAACTACCAATTTTTCTTGGGGCGTTTTTGATTCATTGATTATCTGTTTTCTATTTTGGTTTCTATGTGTCTAAACTTAATATACTGGTACAACAGTTGTGGGTAACCTTTTTGTGTAGAGGGTTGCATGGAAATTACTTTTGTTTTTTGGCGAGCCACATGATAATTTTCTAGGAATCTTGTGTTCTAGTTCTGGGCTCTAGAGCAAGGGTTGGCAAAAGTTTTTTGAGAGCGACCAGTAAGAATTGAGACTCCAAGCAAATGTTATTAGTAGGAAAATGTTTGAATTGCACAATCATCTTTTTTCATATCAGTCATAAGCATTTAGTTGAGACCCAAAGTTATTACCACAAATCGTCAAAATTTCTTGCACTCTCTTTTTTTATTAGGCTGATCTGTAACCAGATTTCAAATATTTCACAAATGTCTTCTCACACAAGAATTCTGCAAGTTGCACACTGAAAGACCAAATATCCAAGAGACATTTTTTAAAAAGGGATAAAAATTCCACGACTTAACATTTGACGGCATATCTCTATATTTGCACTTTTTCCCCTATGATACTATGAATTTGAACTACTTTTTGACTTTGATCATTTTTTTTCACTCACTTCACAGTCATATGATAAAGAATCAGCCAGTATCACTGACAGAGACAATAGTTTATTTCTAAGTTTTCTCCATGACTTAAGTAAAGAAAAAAATGACAGTGATGCACATTCACAACCAGGAGGAGATTTTAAGTTTTACGTGAGGGATTTAAAACGAAGAGCCAGGTAAGAGATAAGTTTTTAAAATAATTTCTGGGCACACTGTTTGATTCCAATGTAATAATATCATTTTTGTGAGGCAGGGATTAAATAGTTATTAAAATATTTGCTTGTTAATGCATAACTTGTTTTCTTTACATATTTGCCTGTCTTCTTGCTAAGAAAGCTGTATTCATTTTAAACAAATTAGGCAATTCATTGATCAAATTACATTAATTGGGCTATTCACTTTTCTTTGTTCTGTTGTCAACGAAATTATATATTCTGATCTGAACTGAAGATAGACTTGAATCTCTTTGTCTTTCTCTCTTTTTTTTTTCTCCTAAAGGAAGACCGAAGTGGCATTTCATATACTTAAGTCAGTAGATTTATTGTTTTATTTCTCTTTTAATACTACAGGCATTACACAGTTATATAAATGTTACCAATTGCTGATTACCTTGTGCAGTTAAATTCTGATCTGAATTGTGTTATATTTATGAAGGATACAGAATTTAAAAGGATTAGTTAACTTAACAGGTATTAAAAAAACTAACACATGATAACTCAAAGAAGTAGGTCTATACTGCTACAAAAATATAACAAAATTGTGGCACTTACTATATGTGAAAGTCTTCCCACCCGTTTTGTGGTGCATTTTTGTTAAGAAAAGAAGAACTGTCACAGATTTCATATAATATTAAAGATAGGCAGAAATGACTTCACAGACAAGAAGACAGGATGGATAAAAGAAAGGATGGATCTGAGATATGATTTGAATAAGAGCTTAGGTAGACAGGCCAATTTAATATATATATATATATATTTATTAATAAATTGGGGGGGGGGCAGCATTTTCCATCCAGTGCACTTATAAAAAATATGGCTTATGTATGTAATATGTGTATTCTCTTTGTTGTGTGTGTTTTTTTTTATTGTGATGCTGGGTATCCAACATTTTACAGTATGTAACAAAAATATAAGTTGTACATAGACGTTTTTTAAACTGCAAAAAATTCTCATATCCAGTAGCTTAAAGGTACTGACCTCCCACCACTACCAGCTGTCAAAATGTGTCAACAGAGAAGTAGAAGCTGTGATTTCAACAGCAATAGAAGCAGTTGCACAAAGCAGCTTAGAAGCGGTGGCATAAAGCAGCAGTGGAACTTAGTGGAAGCTGTGATAGTGATATAGATCAGCAGTAGAGGCTAGAACACAGAGCAGGAGTAGAAGCTGTGATATAGAGAAGGAA